GCTTCTTCTTTATTCTGTTGATCATTTCCTATTTCAGAAGGAAAGAAATTTGAGAAATAAAATTTATTTAATAGGATGTCATTATTAAAGTATATATGTGACTATTCACAATGATTTTTATTCACTGTGTTTTCACTTTTCATGAAAAGTTATATTTTCATTTAATTATTTTACATTTAAATTTAGAAATTCCAAAATTAAGTTACACACCTTTCCTGAAGTCTAGTAAGCTCCACTCATTTACCTAACAAATTTGATTACAGTTGTTTTACTGTTTTTTAAATAAATCTGCCTAGTAACTTCTAGAAACTAGAAACATATAAGAACTGTATTCTAATATTAATAAAGTACTAAGGGGAAAATATCCCCTGTAGCACCTGGTATTTGTATTTAGATGCAATATAAATTAATCTGAGTCATAAATTGTGTGCAGATAATAATAAAGTTACAGCCTTGCTAGTTTTCATCCATTTGTTTTATTTTACAGTTAATACAATAAAAGTATTTCAAAGCACTATTTTGATGTTTTTAAATTCTTACTTTATTTTCAAAATCTTGCCATGTTTTCCCTGTTTTTATAAGTCCTGCCTGCCAGTTTTCTGGTAGATAGGCCATCTTTTGCCCATTGAGCTTTAACAAATTAGTACCAAGGCAATGAGTTTAATTTGGTTGCCTTGAGCAACTTCAATAGAATTAGCTATTGTCCTACAGCATTTTAGTTGTCCTCATGTATACAGACATACTTTCACACCTTTCAACTTCATATTTGAAATGATTTCTTATCCCCTTCAGTCATAAAGAGCCTAGAAATATTTATGCATGCTTCATTTTTTCCTTAGCGTCCTACAGCTAAAGAACTTCTGAAACACAAATTCATTGTAAAAAATTCGAAGAAGACTTCTTATCTCACTGAACTGATCGATCGATTTAAGAGATGGAAGGCAGAAGGACACAGTGATGATGAATCTGATTCTGAGGGCTCTGATTCGTATGTACAAATTATTTCATTTTTATTTACATAGCGTGTTTTAACATTGTATATCTTTTAACTATGATCCAATGTGCTTTGTCTAGCATAAAATATAAACTATATTTTAAAGTTTTATGTTAGGAACTGTGAAAGTCTTTAAAATCAGTTTGTGAAGTACAATGAGTTTAAAAACATGTTTTTCTTAGAATTGAGTTGCTCCGGTTTTAAATGGTCTCAGTCTAACCCCTAGTGGATACTTGAGTATATTACAAAATTTTGGAATAAGATTTTATTAAAGGTGCTATTTTTTTCTTTTCTTTTTTTTTATTGATTAAGTTATTATATATGTGTCCTTATCCCCACATTACCCCCATTCCCCCACACTTACGTCCTCACCCCCCTGTTGTCTGTATTAGTTTGCCCAAAGTGATAAGGGGCTATGTCTTCACATACTTTGTTGTTAACCTACAAAATCCTTCTGGAGAATAACTTGCAGGTCTTTCACACCTCTTGGCCATGAACCAAACCATAGTTAGACTGGTACATTTAAATACAATAAGCCCTTACTTAACATCATTGATAGGTTCTTGGAAACTGCAAACTAAAACAAAATGTTTTATAATGAAAACAAATTTACCATAGAATAATCAATAGAAACAAGAGTTAAATTCCTATGAGATATATATATATGTATATATATATATATCACAAAAACATCACCAAGCATCTAAATAAAGCATTGAAATAAATATAAGCTATGCATACATTTAAGAAAGATGAATAATAACGAGTCAAATAATGACTTTCTAGCCCGCTTTTTTTTAGTTCATGGTCATGGGTGACTGGAGCCTTTTCAGTAGCTCAGGGCAAAAGGCGGAACCCACTGTGGACAGGACGCCTTTGCATCACAGGGCCCCTCACACATACCCACACTCACTCAGAGTGGAACAACTTAGACACACCAATTCACCTCACATGCACATCTTTGGGATGCGAGAGGAAACTGTAGAATATAGAGAAAACCCACACAGACACGGGGAGAATGTTGAACTCCACAGAGATAGTGGCCCAGACAGGGAATCTTTTTGTTTTTTTAACCCTCATCAACATTATAATGAAACGATGTTATTCGAGGACCTACTAAATTTATTGATATAGATTTATACCCCAAAAAAGTTACACTGCTTTTTAACAGTATTTACATTAACCATTTAGTCTCTAAGTCAGTGATGGTGAACCTATGACACGCGTGTCAGAAGTGACACGTGAACTCATTTTTTTGGTTGATTTTTCTTTGTTGAATGGCATTGAAATATACAAAATAAATATTAAAAATATAAGTCTTTGTTTTACTATGGTTGCAAATATCAAAAAAAATTGTATATGTGACACGGTACCAGAGTTAAGTTAGGGTTTTTCAAAATGCTGACACACCGAGCTCAAAAGGTTCGCCATCACTGCTCTAAGTCCATAACTTAGACTAGAAAAGTCTATAGACTGTACCAGAATGTACTACTCCACTGGCTGAAATACTCTCAGAGTCCTGCATTGATGAGAAATTGCCTAACTTTTGAAAGGGATAAACAAATGCCAGGATAGTTTTTGTACCCTGTTCTAGTGGTTGTTGGCCTTAGCTGCCCATGAGAGTTGCCCATGGAGCCTTAAAAAATAAGGCACCCTATAGAAGATCCCAATCCAGTAAGTGAGGAGGGGTAGGTACAGGGCTTTATATATGGTTAGAGGTTCCCATATGTGATTGTGATGCACACTTAGACTTGAGAACCATTTCTACTCTTCAATAAAATGTATTATCTACCTGGAACTGAAATCAAATGCTTTCTTATACTATATTATTTTATACATTGGGACAGTCTCTCTTAAGAGTTTGATTGCATTGATTTGGCATTTTCACCAAGCTGAATTATTTAAGAACTTATTGAAATATCTTTGGCAATCATTTTAGGGAATCCACCAGCAGGGAAAATAATACGCATCCTGAATGGAGCTTTACCACCGTGCGAAAGAAGCCTGACCCAAAGAAACTGCAGAATGGGGCAGTATGTACATCTTGATAGATTTTTTCAAACTATGTAGTGAGATTTTGATGGTCAAAATTATTGGAATTTAATACCCCTAAATGCCTGTCTACTTCACTGTGTCCCTACTATACCTCATTTGTCATTAGTTATGAGCTAATTAAGAAAAAGTCATAGAAATAATTTATGTGGACACTTGTATAACTTTAAATGTATTTTACCTAGAGATACATATATATCCAGTGGAATCATGGATATCTATTGTAATCCTAGAAGTTAGAAGCCTTCTGGATGATGGATGAAATTAGTGATGGGAAGAAAGCATGGAGTTTGCCTTATATTGGGTCTTTTTTTGTGGGGGGGGGGTTCAAATTAATGCACATTTACCATAGAAAAACAAAGAAAAATACAAATGAATGTTTTAAATTCATGTGTATAATCTATATTATTTTTTCAAAGGAGAAAGACCTTGTGCAAACCCTGAGCTGTTTGTCTATGATAATCACACCTGCATTTGCTGAAGTAAGTACAGATTCATCACTGACTATGTATCTTAAGAAGTATAGTAATTTTAAATGCTATAGCTATTGATCTTTCTCAGCTTAAACAGCAGGATGAGAATAATGCTAGCAGGAATCAGGCAATTGAAGAACTCGAGAAAAGCATTGCTGTGGCTGAAGCCGCCTGTCCTGGCATCACAGATAAAATGGTGAAGAAATTAATTGAAAAATTTCAAAAGTAAGTTTGAAATTTCATTTTTTTAAAAAACTATTTTGATATTTTCTGTTTGATGTTAATTTATAATGCAATATAATTGCCTTGATTCAATCATTTCAATTGTTCCTTACAGAATCACTTTTTTATAGTTGTATGCTTAAAAACTCTTTTATTCTATAATGCATCAACTCTATATTGTGTTGTGTGTTCACCACCCCATGTCAAGTCTCCTTCCATCACCATTTATTCCCCCTATACCCTCTTCCACCTCCCCCAATCTCCTTCCCCTCTGGTAATCACCATGCTATGGTCTGTGCCTATGAAGTTGTTGTGTGATTGTTGTTTGTTGGTTGGTTTTTGCTTAATTTTATTAACCAATGTCGCCACAATAAACTGAATTAAAAAGAAGAAAAAAGAACAAATTTCAAAAAAGTTTTGTTTGTTACCCATGTTAAACATTAGCTTTTAGAATTATTATCTTCAGGCATTACAAAGTAATTTTACACTGAATGAAATGGCTCCCCCCGCCCATTTTCCCTGCTAGATGAAGTAGAGACAAAATATTATGTATGGAGTATATTTTTATCTGGACCCTTGTAAACATCATTTAGGAATGCGTTCATTTTTGCCACTACTCTCATCAGACCACCACTATTTACAGTTTCTAGTGCTAAAGTCCATAAATTTAACCCCCATTAAAAAAACTAAGGAATGGATTTTAGGTAGAGGAACTCAATGAAGACTATAAATGTGCCTTATAATTAACTTTAGTTTCTATACTGTGTCTTAAACTGTTGGTTTAATTTTTTTAACATTAAACAAAATCCTTACATTTAATTTTTAAATGCTCTTTCGAACAAGGTTTTTGTGCACATACACAACTCCTTAGCTCAAGCAAGTATAAAGCAATACTAATTTTAGCCTTAATCCCATTATATCGCTTCTTGGTGCATCTTTATGTTTCTCTGTATTGGTGATGTCCCTGGCATCAAGTAGGAACAAACTATAAAGCCTGGAAAAGCATAAACTCTCATACATCTTTAGATCTGATAAAGCCTACTTGTACTTATAACCTAAAACTCCTTAGATTTTAATGGAAAACTCCCCCCTTTTTCCAATTTATAAAAGAAAATCAATTGCCAGTTGTAAAATCAAATGCGGAAGGAATTTTTTAACTTCTTTAAATCTTTAACATCTACATGTTAGGATTCAATGGAAAGGATTTAATTTGCTGAATCGGTTTCTTTATTGTAGATTTCATACAGATGTGAAATATAAAAATGCATAGTTGTATATCAATATGTTTTTTTAATTTTGTAGGTGTTCAGCAGATGAATCCCCCTAAGAAACTTAATATTGGCTTTCATTTCATGCGGACCCAGAGAAACCCACCAAAGTTACTTCAAGCTTAACAATGCTTAACTCATGAGCTCCATGTGCCTTTTGGATCTTTGCAACATTGAAGATGTGAAAGAAACTATTCAACTATTTTGTGATGGTGTTTATCATTTTATATTTTAAAGAGATTATTTTGTAAGGAATAACTTTTAATACTATAGTTTCATCTGTTTTCTAGTAAATGTTGAGATATAGTTTTGCTTTTAGATATCATTATTAAGTTACTAGGATGAATACCTTTCATGTTTTGATCTTTAGTTAACTATACACTGATGAAACATACAGGTCTTTCAAAGTCATTCTAAATATTCAACTTTTGTAAATTATCAAATCTCCAAAAGCTTTTAAAAAAAACATAAGCATGTTCTAAAAATTACTGTTGGTGGAGAGTTGCAAACAAGTCATACCTTCTTAAAAGAGAAGTTTTTAATAAACTCTTGGAAATGGTACCTGGAAAAGTCTAGACTCTCCTACAAAGTTGGTATGATATTCCACGTAGCTCAATGGCAATCACATTGAAGAGCCCTGTGTTTAAAGCATTTATAGGCAACATGTAGCAACAGGGGTACTTCTTGGTGTGCAGTATTTATCATCTCTTTTAGAAGAGGAAATTAACCCTTATTTAACATGGTTGAGGATTTAATGCAATGCCAAGGATGGGTTTTTGGTAATACTGTAGGAATTAATCTTCATTTTTTTAAATTTTCAATTCAAATAGCATATTATATGCTTAGATTTGGGGAGCTTAAAAAGCTGCTCTTCATGTGATTGAAACCTAATCAACAGGTAGGAATATAATTTACACCAGCATATTTTTATCATGGTAGTAAAATATGCTATAAACTATTTATACATTTTTGCTCTTCATAATTATCTAGTATATAAGCATCATTTGTTCATTTTTGAAAGGGTATTTAAATAGGAATTTTCTGGTTCATATGAAAGTAACCATAGTACAGGATGATGTCTGTCTGTACAAAGGTAAGTTAGACTGTACAGTTAATTTTCAGTTATATTTATGGTACTGTTATGTGGGTAATATCTTTTTTAAGCCCAGTATATATATTATGCCTGCCTAAGTTCTGAACTGTAGTTGTCTAATTATTGATATTAGTTAATTTTGATGGTTGACGTTTTATTGTTTGGAACTGCATAATTTTGTTTTTGCACAAAAGTCATTTTTAAAAATCTGAATAATTGCCAAATATTAGAAGAAAAATATTCTTCAAGTAAAGAATATAGTTTTTAATCAAAGTGGCCATTACCTCCTCTTTTTGTAAGAATAAAGACAATTAAGTTTTTATCATGTCATGTGCCAAGAAAATTATTTTCATTGGTGCCTACACTTTAAAGATTACTTTTTACACATTGTATTATCAAGTAATGGCTCAGTTAAAAATTTCACCTTCTATGGAACTGAAACTCAATTACAATTTATAATCTGTAGAAGTCAGGAAATAAATTTGCCACTCATATAATGAGTTAAAAGAATATTTTTATAAAAGTAAAAGCAACCAATTTATAAATTGATTATTTAAAACTTTACACCACAACTGCATCATAAATAGAAATTGTATTGCTTATTCATTGTAGTTATTAGTCCTGTAAACTGTTTCTAGGTGAAGCGTACTCCAGTGTTTGGCAGGGGTGTAAAATAAATATTTAAATTTCATGGTCCTCAATGTTTGTTTTCTTGAAGAATGTATGGTGTGGTATTTTGATTGTTTCAGATCATTTTCCCTTTGTCCTTTAATTTATTGTGGGAATTTTAATACTAATTGGGACCTAAAAGATATTATTCACATTTTATTAAGCATTGATTATAGCTACAGTGAATATATGTCCTTATTTCTGCCTTCTATCCTGACAAAATTATTAACAGAGTACTCTTTCACTCAAAAATGCCCTAGGTTGAACAATAATTTATATGTTCCCCCTGATCATAGTTTTTAGTAGGAAATCTCATAAAGATTTGAATCCTATCGTTCTCTGGGGAAAGCAAACTTTACAAAGACTTACAGAAATTGAAACAAGAAACAACATATAAGCCTAAATGAATTTGAGTTTTTCCTAGAGGAAAAGTCAAAGATGAACTTAATATAGGTTTGAGAATGTTTAGGATTAATGTATAGGTGATTGGACTTCAGTAGTGGGGTGGGCAAAATTAGGTTTACAATTGTGAGTATGTGAAATAGAGTTAATAAAGCTATTGTAGTCATCAAAACCTGCATGTCTTTTTTCATACAAACAACTGTAAACATACTTTTGCTCATCCCTGTATATTCTTATTATAAACTAGCTATTCTATACTTGTGAGTTACTGGACACAATTTCAGGAGCAGGAAAAAAAGTGCTAGACTATGGGAAAGGGGTAAAGAAACATATATTTAAAGGGATTTTTCTGCCCTAACCGGTTTGGCTCAGTGGATAGAGCATTGGCCTGCGGACTCAAGGGTCCCAGCTTCAAATCCAGTCAAGGGCATGTACCTTGGCTGTGGGCACATACCCAGTAGGGAGTGTGCAGGAGGCAGCTGATCGATGTTTCTCTCTCATCAATGTTTCTCACTCTCTATCCCTCTCCCTTCCTCTCTGTAAAAAATCAATAAAGTATATTTTTTTTAAAAAAGGGATTTTTCTGATGTAAAGACTAGGAGAATAAGGAAATTATTCTATCCATCTTTTCTCCATTAAGTCATATATAAAAATAGCTTGCTTATATAATTGCAACACTTTTAAAGTTAGTACTTAACATTATCTTATATGCTTTACTCAAAATTAAAATCAGTAAACAAAATGATGTTCTTAAATAGAATGCTATGCCTTCCAGGGGGAATAGTAGAAAAATTCTGAATGGGTTAAGAATAGACTTTTGGTTTATTAACTCAGTCTGCTTTTAGTACTATCATTTTTTTCAGCGATCCTAATTCTACCACTTCTTTATCCATGACTATACATTTTCACCGGCCTCCCTCCTTTCACTTCTTCAGTCCTTTTCCTTAGTAACAGGCTCAAACCAATCACTCCTGAAATTTATTAAAACAAAAGGAACATAATACTTATAGCATTTTTAATAAATAGATTTCAGTCACTCTGTTAAAATACTATTCATCTCATTTCCTTGCCTACATACATGCAACAAGATATAGCAAAAAAAGTCTTATAGGAGATTAAACAAACCAACAGTTAGCTTTTCTCTTTCACCACATATAATAGATAGTTAAGAATAGAGAAGTAATAAGTTAAACATTATTATATCCTCATCAGGCATATATCTGGCTTTAGAAATTCATTAAGTCATTCATTTCTGAAGATTAGAATTCTGCCAAGTCCTAGATAAATTATAAACTTGTGGCTGTTGAGAGAATCTATGGCACATCTTGTTCCTGAGCTTCAGGAAGGCCATGATACCTCTAACATATCTTATAAAAATTGAAGTTCTTAACATATTACAGGACCATTTTTACTGGGCCCCACACAGATAATGAGGACTGAAACCTTTAGTCATAGTACTATTTAAGAACAAAAATGACTAACACAGTCACGATCTACTAAATCACTAAACGACATAAGAAGCCAGTTCTATATGCCAACCCATGCTGTCACCATTCTTCAGTATTAAGGAGCCTGATCTTCATTTATAATGTCTCTATGGGAAAATGTGTCATGGAGATGACAAATACCCACCTCACTTCACCACAGTGCTAATGAGGAGAGGGCATGTTCCACAGTTCTTTTAGAGGGGATAGAAGAGAAGTTGATAAACAAGGCAGTAGTTGAATCTTGCATAAGCCACATGCCTAAACTTCGAAGATTCCCTAAATACCAATGAATAGGAACTAAGAAAATGGTTTATGCAGAAGGTTCCTTCTTTTTACCTAAGTTGGTAACAGAACTGGTCCAAATATGGTCATAGAGCTTACACTTTTAAGCTAAAAAGTAATTACATGGTTTTAACAAAGTCCTGTCTTCAGCAGTTGTATTGGAAGAAACATTTTCATCTTCTTCATCTAGCTGTAGACTACCAGAAGACAAGCGAATTCTGGCCATGGGTGACCTCATTCCTTTACCATACAAAGAGTAACAGTCTGGTTTAAGAATCTCTGATTCAGAATCACTGGATTCATTAGCTACATACCTTTCTGCTGCTCCCTGATCCATTAGAACTGTTGGAAACTCCTGCTCTGCAAACATATGAGTAAATAGGTCAGCTTTACGACTCAGCGCAGGACAAGGCCCTAAAGGTCTAAATTCTGACCCAAAAGGAAAACGGATAGTTTTCATGTCTGATTGGCTGTGGGAGCGTTTAGGGGGTTGCTCTTGAATATTATATGCAAATGCATCTTCTAAATCTGGGTCTTCTAGATCTACGTTGATGTTGCTCCTACCACTTGTCCTATCCATAGCTTCTTTGAGTCCTTGAAAGTCTTGCTGAAAGCTCTTCATTCTGATATTCCTTGGGCTTCTTTTGACTGGCTTCATTGCAGTGGGTTCGAGACAGCTGTCTAGCCTTTCCCTTTCCTCTACCATAATTGGAGACCATCTGGGCACCTGGGGTGGTTTGTCCATATAAAAAAAGACTTGGGGAGGCATAATATCAACCTGCTGACCAGTACAAGGAATATACGGCACATCTGTGTATGTTAGCCTCTTTGCTGGACTCACTTTGCTTGTAAAACCAGAAGATGTGTTCATGTGATTGTCAGCAAACTTACAGCTTGTTCGGAAGGAGCTTAGAGGACTTCTTTCCTCAAAGTAGTCTCTAGAATCAGTGTCAGGATCATGGTTAGTGTTAAAGACAGGATCAGTATAAAAAAAAGAGAAAGAGGAACTGCTTTGCGATTGATGTAACAATGTGGGATCTGCCTCTGGTTTGGAACGCTCCAGCTCTGCTGCAAATGTCACCTCTACTGCAGAGTTTCTCCTCCTACTGTCTAGCACAGGCTCAGATGCGTGCACTCCATTCACATTTCGGTAGTACCCACTGCCATATGCTAGTCTCAAATCTTCCACCTTGAGAGAAAGGACATGTTGGTAAAAGAAGGAAACAGTCATTTGGTTGGGTGGAATCAGGAATCTAAATTAGCCTTAAGTTTTGCAAAGGTGGTTGGTCACAAAGTTATTTCAAATCATCTTCTATTCCAGGGTTGATAAATATATTCAGAAAGGGTAATAACTTGTACCATATCCCAATTCATGTGCAAAAAATACACATGACGCTACCCTTTCTCAGTTCCATCCCATTCTCAGGCTCCAAGTTCTCTATGTACTTCAGCCAGCATTGTACTTCAAACAGTATGGTTTAGTACCTATATTAATGAGCCAGGAATTCTGACTTCTGTCCTGGCTCATTGCTGTGTGAACTTAGGCAAGTCTTCTAACCTCCCTGTTCCAGCCTCCTGCCTATTTTCTGTAAAATGCTGAGGAGGAGGCCTATGACTGGCATGAGAGGGTCATATATTATATGGTACCTTTCAACATTATACCTTTGTGATGCCTTTTAGGTAAAAACTGTCTGTGATTTGAGTGAAGACATAAGAGTTTGTGAGACCTATAATTAATTTTTTGTGAGAGTAAAAGACAACATGGTTTATACTATAACACTCAAATGAAGCCATCATCTCAATTTCAGGATAACAGCACTTGGTTCTTAAATTGAGTTACAAAATTATACAGCAAAAGTACTTTAAAACTTTAACCCAACACCTTATAGCTTCCTCTGTGCCTAAGTTTTTATAGGTAATACAAAGCCATATATTCATTTGACTACATTTTTCAACACGTTAGCATTGCATATGGCAATTTAAGCCAGATCTTTCAAGTCTATAAGATACACACCAGTGGTAGTGTACTAAATGCTCTTCTATTGGCTGGAAAGATGGAGCTGACAGACCTCTACAGGAGTCTAACCTACTCAAACACAGTGACTGGGAGATTCTGGCAGAATCAATTCTTGGAAGCTTTTGAAACAACACATTACACTTATCTTTAAAAAAGCATTTTCGGAACCTTACTTGTTTTGAGACATCAGAGAGGAGGTCTGGTGAGGACCTGCACTGTCGTTCATGGTACTGAGATGGGTAATGTTTCCTGAAATTGCCAAATGAAGAAGGTATTGAAATGGTGTTTATGTGAATACAGGATACATATAAATCTCTAAATTCAAGTCAAATTCATCGAGAGACAGAGAGAGAGAGAGAGAGGAGAGAGTGAGAGAGAGAGAAAAACAAAACATTGTACCTTTCAAATGGCAAGCTCTTCAACCTCCTTTTGCCCCCATATTCCAAAAGCTGTCTTTGGGTTCTTCCACTATTACAAGAAAAAAGGTAAACATTTTATTAATGGTATTTGTAAGTGAATAGGCTACTAACACTCAAAAGCCTCATTAATTGTTGAAATATTAAGAGTCTGGATGACTAACGTATGTCATGAATCTTTGGCCAGCATATTAATGATAATACCCACTTAACTAACCAGCAGGTATAGAGCAACCTCAATTACTCAGATCCCAGAACATTTTTAAAAGCCTCTGAACAGAGCTCTATAACAGTTGCAAATTCTGGCCTTGGAAACTAATATGCTTTCTTTTTATAGGCATTCTCTCTACTTCCAAATTTACAAATGATTTCTAATGAGGCTATTTTACTGGTTTCCTAACCCATGACAGAAGAAAAACAACT